TATCTTCGGGAAAGGCTGAAAGCCGTAATGCATCTCTCGTAAAAAATTGAAATTATCACTCACAAGAAAGCCTCCAGTATAACCATTGGCGGGCGACAAAGAGCTGCGCCGTTATTATTGTAAGTATAACCGTTATGAGAGATCATTCAGATAGGATTTACATATTTATCCAGGGGGAGAGAAAAGTGATAAGACGGCTTAACCCTATGGCGAACCATGGCCTCTCGCTCGGTTGCCGTTCCATGTCATGTCAGGTATGGGATAAGTTACCGGTAGTTATTTGTTTTCGGAAGCATGGACTTGATGATAGAGGAAGCCGTAACCGGCCAGCGGTTTCGTGAAACACCCTACGGCGGAAAGGAATCCATCTTGTCACAATTTGCCCAACAAAATAAGAGATAAGAGATCTCAATTCAAAATATTTTTGCTTCAGTTTTATGGTAATAAGAAAAATGAGAAGCCATGTCCTTGCCAAAAAATTCCAACATTTTTTATAAATGCAATTTTGCGGCATGTGCAGTAAGACATAAATTTATACGTCATTTTTAAAATCATTTTGCTGTATTCTTGAACGATTTACTGAAAACCGGACGTTACCTGGTTTTCTATCAATAATTCTTCCCACAAGGGAACCAAGCGGAACAGCTGGAAATGTATGGCTTGAATAACTTCTACAGCGAAGTGTGTTTGTAGAGAGATTCTTCAAGATATTGTTAGATAACAGTGGCTGCTATTATCTTACTTTGTTTGGAGTAAAAAGCACGAGTAAGCATCGTATTGCGTATCGTATAAAACTAAATAAGAGAGCTATGCTCAAATATATGGACACGTAGCGCCACCCAATGGCAATAATTTTGATGACGTCATAGCGAAAAAAAAAGTAATAGCCTTCTGGAGAAAAATTTTATCTTTAACCACTAAAATTTCAAAGCAATTGGTCCAGTATTCGAAGAGAAAAGCGATATTTTAAAAATGGAGACGGAGACAAATAACAATAACAATAACAACAAAATTTTGAAACGATCGTTATGTCCATTTCGTGTCCAAAAAACAAACTTTTAACGATTCCTGAATCGTTGAGTATTACGTACGCTGTGACGGTTTGCGTCAACGATACGCTCGTATTATACCAATTACGCCCTCTAAAATATTTTTGGTCTATATTTTCAGAGAAATGAGATCAATATTACATAGTGGTTCAATTTTACGCAATATCCTACTTCAAAGTATCTACAAAATCAAAAGTTTGACGTAAGGTTTTACTAATTCTTCTACGCTAGTTCGTCTAAATGGAAAAACATGACACTGAATTAAAACGAAGTAGCTGATTCTTAAGTATGATTGAAAACTATACAGGAAAGTGCGGCAGATTGGATGGGGTTCTAGCCCTAAATTGGACTGTAATACGCGTAATATTTAAAAATGACTTTGTCTACTTATGAGTATGTTTAACGGAAATTTCAACCCACACCTCAGAATAGGCGATACTTTATAAATTTCATGCGCAGTGAATTTACCCGCAGATCGTCATAAGAGGAGAATTTGTAGATTAATTTCAAGTTTTTCCGGCCTTGCTAAAGATTATTGATGAAAGCTACTAACACGTAATAAGTTACTATAACTGAACAGAAAAGAATTTATTTTTCATATTAAAATACAAAGTACATTTTATCCACATGTGCGAAAAATTACAATCGGAATCAAATGTTCAGCGTTAAATCATTTGTTTATTCTCCCACATATGTGGAAAACAGCAATTATTTGAGATTGATTGAATACTTTATATAAAAAACAATTCAGCGATGTTCAAATATATGAAAGTCCGAAACAAAGTAATTTTCCTGCCGTACCTACCGGTATCAAATACTCGCCATGTTCCTCATAGCGTCGCCTAAAATCGAAAACAGACGTCAGACTTGGCGGATTAAAAACGTGTTACCATAAAATATAAAAATATACCTAAATATCTGCAATATTTCAGATTGTCATAATCTTCCCTAATTCTTCAACTAAAAGTTCACTTATTTAATTATGCAGTTAATTAAACTAAAAATAAGACAGTAGCCGTTACCATACTTTTTGGCCTATGTATATCCCTTAGCAGTGCATAATTAAATAAGTAATCTTTCACTTTTAGTTGAGGATTGGGAAAATTATGACAATCTGAAATATTGTAGATCTAAGAGTACCGA